TATATATATATATATATATATATAATAGTTGGGAATTTCATGTTTACAAGAATTAGGCATTTGTATGTTATTTTTGATGAATGATCAAATCTTACGATGACAATCAAAATTAGAATATTTTTTTTATGTAAATTCTAAAGTGATTTTAGCTTTTTTGCTTAAGCAGCCAATCAGCACTAAATTGATGTAACCAAGTAATTTGGTTACAAATCCCAAGTACAGCTAGAAACTTATCTAAGGTATTGGAAAGTAAACATAACTAGCATAGCCTGATTATTTTGGTTGGTTTTATGAATAATTGTTTTACACTAGCTTGTGATGAGTGTTTCAGTATTAGAGTTTTTTTTGTAAATTCTTTTGCATAACCTCATCTATCATTTTATTGACTCCTTTAACTGGTGTATCTTGTGCCATTTGATAATACCTTCTCAATCCATGAAGTCTAATATTCAATACCTATTTTCAGTAGACATAACTCTCTCCATTTCTCTAATATAACTCCTTTTCAATCCATCATTGCTAGACTTATCTTGCATCTTGAGTAACCTTCTCATTTTTTATTTGATCAATGCGGCCATCAATTGCTTCTTTATCTCCAACCCACGAGTCTATACAGTATGCCCATCCTAGTTATAATTTTATAAAATATTACTACGTTTCTCATAGTACATGTAATACACTTTCATTATAATTGCACATTTTCAACTCAAGTAGTCATGTTTTATGCTCATCTATGTTTCAAACTTATAGTCAATCAAAGCTAATTACTATTACATATTGATATTACTTGATCTTCTTGTAATATTGTGTACTAATTATTAATATCACACTCATTAAAATTTGCATAAATTTACTCAATTATTGTCTGCTAACTTATAGTACCCTTCTAAACATCTTCTCATTGTCAATTATTTCATTTAAAGCCTTTGCCAAGTGGAATCAAAAGGAAATATAACTAAGTATGATTGGGTAGACCCATCCAATCAACTCTTCATTTAGCAATTCACAATATGTGATAGATAAACTGTGTTTTCAGTTTTTTACTTTTGCTTTCATTTAATTTCTTGGAAGATAGCGCTTAAGTTCACATATGTTTGCTACATTATTATAATCATTTAAAAAATCATTTGTAATGTTTTTTTTTTTCATATCGATGTTGTGGTAGGGGAAAAAAACTTCATCGTTCTGACAATAAACAGGTTTGGAAATATTGGAGCACAAAGACAATTGGACTGTTCATTGTTCCTTTGCTTTTCCATTATCTGTTAGAACGTACTTGTATTAGATTAAAATTTGTTTGGTAAAATAGTTATTTTTTCTTGAAATATTGATTGCTTTAAATTTTGATGGTTAATTCAACTCTTTGCCTTTGGGATCCGAATTAACTGTCAGTTTTGAAGACTTTTAATTTTGTTTTGAAATTCTAGTGCTTTTGGTTCTTTCGGATTATATCCTTTTGGAAGATTTACATACATACCACCTAGGCTTTGTTCGGTTAGGCTTCTCATTTTAAAAAAAGTCTTTTAAAAAACTATTTTAACAAAAACTGATTTAAAATTTTGATAGTATTTACAGCTCAAATTGGCGTAAAAAAATGGAGTGTTTTGACAAGTGAAAAAGCATACTAACCAAACAACTCATGCAATAGAGAAAGGACTTGAAACGTAAAGCAACAGGAAAGTTTCCTCAACAGAGCCTTTAAATTCTATGTATTTGCATATCTAACATCTAACTTTCAATTTTTACATATATGCCATATTACCTATGTGTAATAAGAGGTCTATTTATCCTTTTAGAAGTTAAAAGAGTCATATAAACGATTTGGGTTGTATAAATATAGAAAGGAAATTTAGGTGTTAGATATGTAAATACATAAAAATTCAGTGGCATGCGTAAGTGCCCATGTTTTATTGTTGCTATGGGTACGTTATTTGGCAGAAGTTTAATGCACTGAGTACAAAAGCGACATAGACCATAAGTGCCCATGTTTTATTGTCGCTTATTCGGCAAAAGTTTAATGCACTGAGTACAAAAGCGACATAGACCTATCCATTTAGCTCACAATTATACTTATATGCATTTAGCTCGCAATCATACTTATACCCTATCATTATTGTAACTTTTCTCAGTCGGTTTGATAAGGTTAATAATGATGACTATATCTGATATACTCGGAGTTGAAATATAACGCTAATCTGTTAGTTGGTTAATCCTGATTTGCAACAGAGCAGAAGCTGTCTTGGATGCTATAGTAGACCAACTCCAATAACAGCAGTGGATGAGCCGTCAAAGGGTCTAAGAATTCAAGGTCAGCCTGTGAGAAAACCAAGTGTATCAGACGACTTCTGGAGTACAAGCACATATGAAATGGAGATTAGTGGAGCTCATTCTCAGAGAAGCATCTCTTCAATTAGTGCATCAACCCAACCACTCGATCCGCAAAGTGGAGCAGGGAGCTCAACCAATCCTCCTGAGTTTGTGAATCATGGTTTGTTTCTTCTGATCTTCCAATCCATGCGGCTATGTTCTGTGAGAAATTGTCTGTTGATGCTGCAACTGATTATGATGCATGTAAATGATTTATTATCTTCCGTATGTTTTGTAGGCTAAAGAGAAGTTATTCTTTCAGTGCTGCGTTGTTGTTTGCAAGAATAGTTTGTGTATATTGCTTTGATTTTAATTATTTTTAATATATTATCTTTCAGTACTTAAATAATTGCTAAGAAACATTCCATAAGTTGCTCTGACAGTTAAGGCAATGATGATTATGTTCATTACTATCTTTTTTCTCATCTCACCAACATACACAAGTATTATGATCCTCCAAGCATATCACGTGCAGTCTTCTAGTGAATAGATGATTCAGATAAAAACCAGGTTCCATATTTGCTTTCAGCCAATTTCTACAAATTTTAAATTCACCAATGTTTTTCTTCATCTTTGTGCAGTGGAATAATGAAATCATAATGTTTTGATGTAAGCTTGCAGAATATATGACAATCCTTGATGCTTCCAGCCAGTAGAATTGTATCTAGATAAACTTTATGGGCATTTATGTATAATATACCAACCAATTCTTACGTATTTATATATCTAACACCAGGACGTTGCATTTTATATTTATACCACCCAATTCTTTCATATCGTCAAAAGATCCATAATTTTTTACTTCTAAAATGTGAAATACACCTTTTAATGCATAGGTAAGTTGGAATGTTTGTAAAAATTCAAGTTTAGGTGTTAGATATATAATTACATAGGAATTGAGTGGTATTTGGATTGAACACTTATTCTAAACTACAGGCCTTATTTTATGGAATCAAACAAGACAGCAGTGGATTGGGAATAAAAAAACAGACAAAAAAACGGAGGAGGTTATTGATCCAAGGTTAAGGTATGTGTTAGTTTATCATTATGACCATATTGTTAGAACTTGGGATAACTGTGCCTTTTTTGAATTAAAATGAAATGTGACAAATTTTACTTTCAGTGTTAGCTATGTAGTATAATTATTTGGGGCATTTACATACTTATATCCCAATTCCTATGTATTTACATATCTAACTCCTTAATTTTACTTTTTACATTTAGACGACCCATATCTTTCATTTGACATAAAAAATACTACTATTTTAACTTCTTGAAAAGTGAAATACACCTTTTCATGCATAGATAAGATGGAATTCATGTAAACATTAAAGTTTTGATGTTAGATGTGTAAACACACAGGAATTGAGTTGTATGCCTGTAAATCTTTCTAATTATTTCACCCATCAGTACATAACCAGCATAGTTAATCTAAGTGAATGTTATAGCATATGGTTTTGTAGGGATTTATAATTTGTAAGACCAATCTGATTAAATATTCCATCTTTTCCTGTATTATGCGTTCGATTTTTTTCTTTTTTTGGTACAGTTGGAATGCAACATATGACAGTTTGCTGGGGACAAACAAGCCCTTTCCACAGACTATCTCGCTCCCTGTAAGTTTTTGAATTAACGTTTATATTTTGATTTGATTTGGATGTTTGTTCGCATTTTCAAAAACTTAATTTTGTTCTATCAGAACTGATCCAAATAAACTGAATTATATCACAATTTGATCTTTTTCGATTCTCCTGATGTGTTGATTAGATCTAAACTGTTTCATTATAGCCAAATCATCGAATTATCTGGTTCGATTCTACTTATATTTTTTATATTTTAATCAACTTGCAGGAGATGGTGGATTTTCTGGTGGATGTATGGGAACAGGAGGGATTGTATGACTAGATTGCTGATCAGTTCACTAATTCTCTTTGGGATTAATGAAACTATGGAGCCGTTTATCAGTACATGTGGGTTTTCTTACCTTCTTTTTCTTTAAATAGTATCCTCTCACAAAATAGTGGGGGGAAATAGTACACTGCGTATTGTGTAAGGCTTCTGAGGCCCATTGTTGTTATATTTATTGAAGGGCATACAGTCATTCCCAAGCATTGTTCTTCAATACTCCTACCTACAATACTACAATACCATTCAACCCCTATATATATATATGTATATATATGTATGTATGTATAATTTTGGAAGATTTACATGCATACCATTGAATTCCTAGTATTTACATAAATAGCACTTCAATTTTAATTTTTATATATGTGTCACTTTTTTAAGAAAATTAAAGTAGTAGTATTTTTGATGTGATATAAAACATCTTGTTGGTATAAATGTAAACATTAAAGTTTAGTTGTTAGATATGTAAAGACTTAGGAATTTGGTGGTATGTAAATGCCCCTATAATTTTTTTGCTTTTGTTTTATTTATTTAATTATTTTAAGATTTATTTGTCTTATGCTCATGGATGATTTTTCTTTCCTTTTTAAATGTAAACAAAGCTTGGCTCCTAATAAGCAGCTTATCTCTAAATGGTTTTGTAAGTAAATGTGACGTGAACAATGTTGTTAATATGAATGTGATAATTTTATTTTAATGGGACATATCATCAAATGATTGTATGAGAGATGGTGGGATTAGAATTTCTTAATATTGAATTATCAACAAGTTTAGCCATGTGAGAGATTAAGAGCAATAGCTAAAAGATGTTTAAGATTCTTGCCAAGTTTTAATGTTGTTTTGGCTAAAAAGGTTGGTTTTAACATGAAAAATTCCTTATGAAGTAGAAATAAAGTTGGAGTTGGTTGTGAGAAATCATTATGCTAAAGATCATGCAAAAATTACTTCCCAACTTATTTGAAGGGTGAAGTTATGTATATGTATATATGGAAGATTGAAAAACATACAACTCAACTTGTGTGTATTTATGTATCTAATCTATAAACTTCACTTAACATGTATGATACTTTGCTTATGTTGGAGGATGTGTTTTTCACTTTTTGAAAGTTGAAGTAAGAATTTTTAGACGTGATGTGGAAGATTTGGGTGGTGGTGTTTTTTTTTAGGATGTAAGGTTTTGTGTTGTATGTGAGTTTGTATAATATGGAAGGGATCATGTGAAGATGTAGAAGGGAGTAGAGGATCTAGAGTATATGTGTTGTTATTGATGTTGGTGAGGAAGGGAAGGGTGGAGAGAGAGAGGATGTTCAATCCTTTCTTTTTTATTTAATTCTACTAGAATACACTTGCCCTTGTAGGGTTACAAATAATAAACAAGCGCTATGTTGCAGGTTGTGATATACAGAGTCTGTTAAGACCTATCATTGATAAGTTATTAAGAGTGAATGTCATGGAGTTAATAAATAGACATGGTTGGTGATGGAGTAAAGTTTTCCTTTCTCCTATCGTGAAGGACTGCTCAACCAATTTGATGATGTTCCTTGATGGATACAAACTTGCTCGGTTGATGAGCTAGAGTAGGTCTTCTTGCACATTCTCTATAACTCACAAGTAACAAGTTTTGGATTGGACTAAGTCTCCTCTGATAGTGATGATCCGTCCTCCGCTTGGAAACTTCATTGCCACATGATGGGTGGAAATTACAACCTTGAAAGTGTTGAATATTGGTTTGCCAAAGATGACGAAGTAGGTGGCTTGAACGTCCACTGCTACAAAACTAGTTGAGGAGGTGCATTGTTTTTCTTCTCCATAATTCAGCAGTGGGGAAATCATTGTGCATATCTTTTTTTCTTTTTTTGCTCATGATAATCCGTACAATGGACCAGAGTAAGGCATCATCTTCTTGAAGGCTCTCTTAAATAGGTTGATGGAGAGACCCGTGTCCACTAGGATACTTTTGATCTGATAGTTCAAGATTTTTGTAATGGTCATACTGACATCATTGAATGGATATTCATCGGCATGTATGTAGGTATCTGAAAAAGTGATGGGTGGATGGATTGGGGTCATCAACCTGACTTTATCGGTTGAGTTGACTTCTCCAAATTTAGTAGATGCAAACTAGCTCATTGTGATGCCTCGCGTCCATCTCCTCTAAATATAGTAGGCAAGATGCCAACGATGGGTGCTAATTGCATTATTGATTGACGCTTTTCCTTTCCTTCAAGTGTTCACCTCCATGGCTATAAAGGCTTTTAACTTCTCTACCCAAATCAATTCCACGATGAAGTTTCGTAGAATCCAACATCCCTATGTGTTATGTCCATATTCTTGATGGTAGGCGCAATATTTACTCAGGTCACACTGATCACTTCCCGCATACATTGACAGTGGATTTTTGAAGACTCTTTATTCTAGATAGCTTTGATGGCTTTGACTATAGACATTCTTAGTGATATTACTTTTTTTCGAAGGGAACCGAGGTGGTTTATTCTTTCCTATTGGCCTTCTTTTGACAATTCCTCTTTCGAGAGATTCTCATTCATGTTGGTGAAATTTTTGTCAAGTGGTGTTTCAAGAATTTATTTGGACAAATTGATTTTCCAAGTTCCTATGATCATTGTGGCATTATTTTTATAGTTTTTTTCGACTCCTTGGGCTTAGACATGCTCAGTAAAGAGTTGTACTCTTTAACTAAAATGTGATTGTTAGCCAGCTCTAATAGCTCGATTAGGTTCCTCAACTTTAAGCCAAGTAGATATCAAAATGGCCTCTCACATAGATCTTGAGCTAGTGTTGCATGGGCAACAATGGGTTCCAAGTCTCACACATCTAGCATTTCCCATTGGAAATAAGTGATGAAGCTTCTGAGACTTTCTTAAGGTTCTTGATTGATCTTTAAAAAGGCTTGAGAATTTTTCTGTGGCTTTTGGCACTGACAAATTGTGCTACAAACATAACATGCACTTGTATTCTCTAAAGGAGGTAATAACTTCCATAGGAAAGTTGTTGAATCAGCATAAAATTGATTCATTAATTGTCATGAAGAAAAAATGGCACTTTAAATCATTGTTTACTTGTAATAAATATATGACTTATTCAAAAGATGCCACATGGTCAGATGGATGTGACCTCCTTTTGTTGGACTCTAGAGATGGAATCTTGAATTTCATGGGTGCATCAACTTCTGCAATTTCTCTTGAAAATGTGTTCTTAAATGGATTTTGCCTCTTATCTTTTCTCCTTGCTCTTCCTTCTGATGGCTTTGAGATCTCATCCATTGAGATGCATGGCTCTTTCTTTTCTTCTCCCTCTAACCATGAGGCTAAAGATCTTCTCGATCTTGTCCTCAACAACTTTGGTCTTCATGGTACTTGTCTTGATGCTTTTCTTCTATGAGCCACTCATGCTGATGATCCCATGTGCATTTTAGCATGAAACCTAGAATGAATCCTAAGGATTCTTGCCTTACATCCTATATCATCTCCCGCATCTGTTCTTTTAATTCATTGATTTGCTGCATAAAAAATTCTCTAGTATAGTCCATCACTCTTTTTCATTCTTTCTCATGATGAAAGTTTCTTTTTTGAGTTGGGGTATTAACTTCACCTTCATGAAACATTTTAAGATGTTTAATCATTTTAGGACATATAGTCTCACATTGTTTGTGAGCTCATACAGCCCGAGAGAGAGAATGGGATGGAGCATTGAAGAAGATAATGGGTGGAAACTCCCCCCTACCCTAAACCTCATTTCATAACTTGTAGTAAGAGATTGAGCCAGGGAAGATAGAGAGAGAGAGAGATCAGGATCCACCCTAAAGTAGGAGGCACATGAATTTATTTCTCTAATCCCATGGTCCCTTCTACTTGTGCTCCCTTTCCTCCATGACTGCGAGAGAATAAGAGGAAAAAAAAAATAGATTGTACAATATAAGACTCGTCCATGATGTCCTCGCAAGAAGATGGTGACGTGGTTGTCAATCTATATCTGTGTGTGTGTGTGTTGTTCGCCAATCCTCTGAGGTCACCGATCCAATCCCGCTTGAGTGCATATGTCTTGTAGTGCGGAATCGAGTGGTTAAGCACATATGTTGATTAGGGGCTCGTATCATAGCCTCTGTCCAATCTTTTATATATATA